TGAAAATTGGGTAGGTCAAATGTTTGTTAGTGGGATGAATTGTAAAGGACCTGCCTAGTATGGGCCAACAGGCCTGCTGCAGTGTTCCTCCTTTCTTATGTTCTTATGTTCTTATGTTCTTACAAGAATTAATTAAAATAAAATTAATTCATTCCCAACAAAAATATTCACAAAAAAAAATAATTTTTTTTACAATTATGTAAGTACAGTGGACCCCCAGTTAACGAACTTTTTTCATTCCAGTAGTATGTTCAGGTGCCAGTACTGACCGAATTTTTTCCCATAAGGAATATTGTGAAGTAGATTAGTCCATTTCAGACCCCCAAACATACACGTACAAACGCACTTACATAAATACACTTACATAATTGGTCGCATTTGGAGGTGATCGTTAAGCGGGGGTCCACTGTATTACATACCTTTATTGAAGGCTAATGCTGGCTTCTGGAAGATAGGGAGGAGCAAAGAGGGAGGAGTTAGTGTTTGGAAGGGGAATCCCCCTCCATGAAGACTTTAGATAGCAATGCCTTCTCTGGGGTTACTTCCCTTCTCTGTCTTTTAATGCCACTAGAACCAGCTTGAGAGTCACTGGACCCCTGTCTCACAAAATGACTGCCCAGAATGCTCTGTTTCTGGCATCTCCTTAAGATTTCCCTGAAGTGGGACAGGGTTTTGTCACTAAACATGTTGCAGATATGGCTTGTTTCAGCTTTGTCAGGGTGGTGTTTCTCTACAAAAGCTTGCACCCTGGTCCGCATTGCACACACCTCTTTAATCTCTGAAGAAGGCACTTCCTTCACTCCCTCTTCCTCCTCCTCTGAAGCAAGTTCCTCAGCTGCAGTCTGTTGCTGTTCAAGTTGAAGCTCTTGCAGCTCTTCAGTGGTAAGCTCTTCCCTGTGGTCCTCTACCAACTCTTCCACATCCTCACCACTCACCTCCAACCCCAGGGACTTCCCCAAAGACACAATAGAGTCCACAGGGTCGGCAGGGTCAGGGTCACGGTGAGTCTCAAACCCTTCAAAATCCCTCTCTTGGACACAATCTGGCCACAGTTTTCTCCAAGTAGAGTTCAAAGTCCTGAAAGTCACTCCCTCCCAAGCCTTACCTATAAGGCTTTTGCAATGGAGGATAGTGAAGTGATTCCTCCAGAACTCTCTTAGGGTCAACTGAGTGTTCGAGGTCACTTCAAAGCACTTTTGAAACGCTGCTTTTGTGTAGAGTTTTTTGAAATTAGAAATGACATAGTCCTGGAATTTGTGAACATACTGTTCAGCTGCATATTTGTCAGAACTTGCAGCCTCACCATGCCTTACAACACTGTGTATGCCACTATGCTTCTTAAATCTATCAAACCATCCTTTGCTGTCCCTAAATTCACAAACTGCAGCACTTGTTCCAGGCATTTTCTTTGCAAGATCCTCATGCAACTGCTTTGCCTTCTCACAAATAGTAGACTCCACAACACTGTCTCCCACTAATTCTTTTTCCTTAATCCACAATAATAATAACTTTTCCATCTCTTCCATTATTGGTGGCCTTTGTTTAGTTAGACAAGTTACTACTTTTGCAACATTAGCATCTTTGATTTGTTCTTTCTTTGCCAGGATGGATGTAATTGTTGATTTATTCTTGCTGTACATCCTGGCAAGTTCCACCACCTTCATACCAGTCTAAAACTTTTCTATCACTTCACGCTTAAATTCCATGGTGTTTCTCACTTTCTTTACCACAGGAACTTTACTAGGAACTTTCTTTGGAGCCATGGTTACTTATTTCACAGTTGCACTGCAAGAAAAACCACTAAAAACAATGGTAAACAAGTGAAATGTTTGGATGTATGAGCAGAAGCCTCCTCAGCCACTGAGAGACAAAGCCAAACTGAAGCGCAAGCTGCCCCAGCCAGTGGATAGACGCGTCCAAAACCGCCGATAACCGAGTTGGCTGATAACCAAACCGGCCGATAACTGGGGGTCCACTGTACGTCTTACGAGGTGCCGTGCTTGACGTATATATACTCATAAATTCTAGCGGCTTCAAATCAAGCAGGAGAAAGCTGGTAGGCCCACATGTGAGAGAATGGGTCTGTGTGGTCAGTGTGCACCATATAAAAAAAAATCCTGGAGCACGCAGTGCATAATGAGAAAATAAAAACTCCGACTGTTTTTTTTTTTAATTAAAATGCCGAATTTGTGGTCTATTTTCATATAGTATTTATGGTCGTATTCTCGTTTTTTTGGTCTCATTTGATAGAATGGAAAACATATTATAGAAATAGAGGTGATTTGGATTGGTTTTACTATAAAAAGAACCTAGAAATGGAGCTCAAAGTAGGGGAAATGTTTGATTTTTGCCAATGTTCAAAAGTAAACAAATGATGCCATTGTCCAATAAATGTCCAACTAGCCATTCTAATATGCAGTCATGAATGGGCTGACATTATTTATACAATTATTACAGTATTGCAGTAGTCTGCATAACAGTAAATCTTCTATTTTTTGTTTGAATAAAAATTCAAAATAGAAAGCAAGAGTAATATCAGAGGGGCCTGGAGACATGACTGATGAACAAAGAAAATGTTATTTTAGAGCCAGGAATGTCTGCATTTTTCATTCTGGACCTTATTTTGAAATTGTCATATTTTTTAATTTTCGTGAAATTGGCCAAATTGCAAATTTCTGACCACATTATTGGGTAGTTGAAATTGGTAAATGGGCAGTTTCTTGTACTCAGTTTATAGAAAAAATGGTGTTCTAAAGAAATAGCTATGAGTTTGGTCGACTGGAACAATGGAATTAACCGAAAATAGGGCTCAAAGTTGGCGAGATCGCTGATTTGTAAATATCGCCGAGGTTGCTAACTTCGCGAGAGCATAATTCCGTCAGTTTTCCATCAAATTTCGTTTTTTGGTGTCATTACAATCAGGAAAAGATTTTTTTATCATTTCATAAGAAAAAATAATTTTTTTTTTTTTTTTTTGAAATTTTGCAACACCAGGAGACACCTCAGGATTGGGGGTTGTGACAGTCAAAGGGTTAAACAGTATACGTCAGTCCTCGCCAAACTAAGAAGAAAGTCTAAGCAACTGTACTGTTCTAATAGATTCACTGAAACAAGAGGAGATATAAAAAAGACCTGTAAGACACTTTCTCAGATCCTAGGCACCACAAACTGAACAAAGCTTAGAGATATTGTCCCAACTAAACCATATGAACCACAGCTCCAGCCTATTTACACAGGTAATGGAATAAATGTCTTCTCAACCATATGATCAAATCTCACCAGTAAAATTCCAGGTACCAATACCTGAACTAATGATTATCTACATGGAAACTTCCCAACATCCCTCTATCTTGCTCCAACCCAGCCTGCTGAAGTCACCATGATTATTAATTCACTAAAAAATAAATCGGGAAATCTAGCTCATGTCCCACCACTATTATACAAACGAGCAGCTCATGTCCTCTCACCCACCATTACACTACTTTTTAACAAATCACTAGAAACCAACACTCTCCCTACATTACTCAAGTTAGCAAGATTTACTCCATTACACAAAGGTAGTGACCCAGCAGATGTAAACAACTATAGACCAATATCTAACTTACCTTTATCCAAAATCTTTGAGAAGTTTATACATAACAGATTATACTCCTTCATAACATCACAAAGCATTCTCAACCCCGGCCAGTTTGGCTTCAGGAGAAATAAAAGCACAAATGACACAATTACAAAAATGCTAGACCTACTATATGCAGCACTTGATAAAAATGAATATCCACTTGGACTCTTTATCGACCTTAAGAAAGCCTTTGATAGACCACAGCATCTTTATAAGAGGCTGCACACTTGCATATATCAAGTCTTACCTTACTAATAGAGAACAACATGTCTCTACTAATAGCACAACCTCTGTAGCAAGACCTCTGGATACTGGCATACTGCAGGGAAGCGTTCTTGGTTCCCTACTTTTCCTGTTATACATCAACGACCTCCCAAATGTATCGCAACAACTCAGACCTATTCTCTTTGCTGACAACACAGCTTTTCTCATCTCCCACCCTAATCTTGCCTCACTCAACACTATTGTTAATGAACAACTCATAAAAATATTGATCTGGATGACTGCTAATAAACTCTCACTTAATATTGACAAAACATTCTACATTATGTTTGGGAGCAGAGCAAATGATGTTCAGCTAAACATTATGCTTAACAATACTCATATTGTTAAACATACATAATGAGGAGAAAATTTCTAGGTCTGCACCTTGACAGCAACTTGAAATTTAACACCCATATCCAACACGTAAGAAAAAAAAGTCTCCAAAACAGTTGGCATTCTCTCTAAGATATGTTATTTTGGGCTGAGGGTCTAGTGTGGCCACCCCAGAGGTGCTGGGCTGAGGGTCTGGTGTGGTCACACTGGCCACCCTAGTGTGACCACACTAGGGTGGCTGTGGGTCTGGGGTGGCCACATTGGTCATCCCTGAGATGCTGAGCTGAGGGGTCTGGTGTGGCCATACCAGTCACCCCAGAGGTGCTGGGCTGGGGGTCATCTGGGCTATCCTTAGTATTTGCACTAATTCCTTGATCATTTGTGGCCACATAGGTCTCAAATCCACTTAACTCTGGTGCTATATCACTTTCCTCAAATAGGAGAGTTTTAATAAGATGGGGTGTGAGTGAATCCCAGGGATTTGCCATGATGGTGACCCAAGCTGGTGCTGAAACTGGTACTCCCCTGTGGTACTGCAGGGTCTTCAATTTTTTTCATACTGCGCACACTGAGTGTGCAAACCCATTCTCTCATGTCTAGGCCTCTCAGGCCTGTTGTGCCAAATTTGAGGGCAGGAAAAATAAAACGTCACTCTACATATGGAGCACTAGCGGTAAAAATATAGAACTATGTTTGGACAGTTGAAGGGTTAATGTTATTATTATTAGTGGTATTATTGATATTATTAGTATTATCATTATAACATAAAGAAACCTTTCCTCAGGTATATACAGTAGAGGCTCAGAGGTTTGTACAGTACTCCAAGGCAGATGCGACTCTCTCCTATGAGCCTAGTACACCTCAGAGGTGTGCAACATACAAGCCTAGTACACCTCAGAGGTGTGCAACCATAGAGCGACGCTACTCACAGTTCCTGGCCGTCTACACGGCGCTCCTCTCCTCTCACAGGTCACTCATGGAGGAATTTGATGGCTTTCCCAAGAAAGTTATCATCGGTAAGTGGAATACTCTTCCATTTTTAAATTCACATTACCATTACTTCAGGAATCCACAACTAACACAATACCATGACTACAACAACTCTCAATTAACACACAATACCATGACTACAACTGTCCACAGCTAACACTCAGTACCATGACTACAGCAATCCACAACTAACACACAATACCATGACCACAACAAACCACATCTAACACACAATACTATGAATACAACAGCCAACAACACACAGTACCATGACCACAACAAACCACATCTAACACACAATACTATGAATACAACAGTCAACAACACACAGTACCATGATCACAACAATTTACAACTAACAGAGTTTTTTTTTAGCGCTAGGAAGAAAAAAAAAACGCTGGCAAGAAATGACAAAAATCTTACACCAACTTGGATCATTACTGGAGTGGAGGCACAGTCTGTGGCCTCCACTCCAGAACAAACAGATATTAGTGCCAGCAAACAACCCCCCCCCCCACATACCATCAGTACAACAACATTTATCTTTTCATACATACAGGGTCTAAAGCCATCAAAAAACAACAAAATACCTTTCATCAGTGGACTGCTCACAAAGTCAAATGCAATGTTTGTGGCTTTCACAGAGACCCACATAAAGGATCACTTTGACAATGAAATGTGGGTTCTAGGCTATAACTTATTCAGATGCGACAAAATGAACAGGCAATAAGGGGGGAGTTTGGCCTGTATGTCACAGAGTTGCTCATTTACTCGGAACCACTGAACAGCACAAATGATGTATTTGAAGTTTTACCAGTAGAAACTCAAAACCAAAATTTTGTCATTGTGATTGTATACAAGGCACCAGATACAACTTCTCAACAATTCCAGGAACAGCTTTTGAAAATTGACCACTGTTTGAAAAATCTCTCAACTCCTGTCCCAAACATCTTGCTGCTGGGTGATTTCAATTTAAGACACCTAAAATAGAGGAATGCAGCAAATAATGTCTTAGCAGAGATCACCCCAGGAGGCAGCAGCAGCTCAGATGAAAATTCACATGATCTCTTAAATCTTTGTAACAAATTCACTTGAAGACAGCAAATAGTGGGGCCAACAAGACTGGAAAATACACTTGACCTTATCTTCACTAATAATGATGATCTGGTATGAAATATGACGGTATCAAAGAAAATACACTCAGATCACAACATAGAAGAAGTACAGACATGTATGTGCAGGGGTCCTGACCAGTATAAGGTGATCAGTTATGAGGGTACCTTTGCCAAATTCAACTTGGATAACAAAAACATGCAGTGGGATCAAATCAGCCATGTCCCAAGTGAAACAAGCTAGGAAGATATCCTAAACAACATGGATCTGAACCTTTGCCTAGAAAGAATTAACTCTGTGGCACTTGAAGTATGCTCAAGGCACATTTCTTAAAGAAAAAAAAGAGAAGATGTAAACTAGAAAGAGAAAGATGCTCCCTTTACAAGTGAAGGGGAAGAATCACAGGGCTGCTGAAAAGGGCCAGTATATCTGAAATACAAAAGGAGGCACTGGTCAGAATAAAAGCAAATATCTAACTTAAGCTTAAGGAATTATACAGGAGACAAGAAACTCAGGAAGAACTTAAAGCCATAATTGAAATTGAAAAACACAAAATACTTCTTTTCTTATGCCAAATCTAAGGCAAAAACAACATCCAGTATGTGATAATGATAATTTTTATTTCAGCATGATACAATGTACAAAGGAAAATGACATTTGGGTGTACATGCTGAAAGCCCCTTTATATGCAGAGCATTTCAGGCAAACTTAAGACTAGCTAAAGATTAATAAAACAGTAACAATAAAGTGTAAATTTAGGAATTTACAGTCATTACAAGAGAACTGAATATTCTATTAGTTCGTGCTATTTGGTTTTAACAAGTTTAATTGAGAGGAATTATAGGTATGATTATTAACCTAAAGGGAAAGGTTACAGATATTTAGAGTAAGTAGGCTGGAATACTGTTGTACACTAATTCAAATTCAAATTCAAAGTTTATTCTCTATAAGGATTACAATGCTGAGTTTACAGAATTTGATTATTGTGTGGTTTACATGTAGTAAAATAATAATTACCGAGTGTACCACTAGAACACCTAGCATGGCTAGGCATTTCGGGCAGACTTAGATTAAATCTTAAGTTTAAAATATTACAAAATTATGAGGTAAGTTGGTATTATGGCTAAGTGACTAAATACTAGTTTGTGAGTTTAGCAATGTGAATGCTTTTGTTTTGGCACTATACATAGTTTCAGTATTGGAGTATCACAGGCCAAATTATGACTAGTTAAGATTCATTATTTTGAGATTGAGATTGTTATTTCTGTTTATGGTCAAATGGGTGAGTGAGTGTAAGTGTGAACCACCAGGTGGTATTCGTATAATTAGTTGACAGGGTGGGATCAGGGAGATAAGATGTTTTCTGATGGTAGTTTTGAAGGTGATGAATGTGTCTGCAGTTTTAGAATTTTCAGGTAGGGTGTTCCAGATTTTAGGGGCTTTGACATACATTGAATTTTTGTAAAGGTTTAGTCGGACACGGGGAATGTCATAGAGATGTTTGTGTCTGGTGTTGTGCCTGTGGGTTCTGTCACAACTATCAAGAAAGCGTTTTAGGTCAAGGTTAATATTGGAATTTAAGGTCCTGTAGATGTAGATTGCACAGTAGTAAGTGTGGATGTACTGAACAGTGAGTAAGTTTAGATCTATGAAGAGTGGGGGGGTGTGTTGCCAGGGATGGGATTTAGTGATTATTCTTACTGCGGCTTTTTGTTGGGTTATTATTGGCTTTAGGTGTGTTGCTGCAGTTGAATCCCAAGCACAGATAGCATAGGTGAGGTATGGATATATAAGTGAATGGTATAGTGTGAGAAGGGCAGTTTGCGGCACGTAGTATCGTATCTTGGAGAGGATCCCAACCGTTTTGGATACTTTTTTGGTTATGTGTTGGATATGGGTGCTGAAGTTCAGGTTGTTGTCGAGGTATAGGCCTAGGAATTTGCCCTCATTATGCCTGGCAACTAGAGTGTTGTCGATCTTAATGTTAATTTGCGCATCTCCTGCTCTTCTACCAAACATAATGTAGTAGGTTTTGTCAGCGTTAAGCGTAAGTTTATTGGCTGTCATCCAAGTCGATATTTTGATCAGCCCCTCATTAACAATGGTGTTGAGGGTGGCAAGATTAGGGTGAGAGATGACATAAGTTGTGTCTTCAGCAAAGAGAATGGGGTTCAGGTGTTGAGATACGTTTGGAAGATCATTGATGTATATGAGGAAGAGCAGGGGACCAAGGACACTTCCCTGTGGAACTCCAGTATCAAGTGGCTGTGTTGTTGATGCTGTGTCTTTAATGGTGACATACTGATACCTATTAGTATGGTAAGATTTGAAATATGCAAGCGCATGGCCTCTTATACTATAATGGTCAAGTTTGTGGAGTAGGATGCCGTGGTCTACTGTGTCAAAAGCTTTTCTTAGGTCAATAAAAATTCCCAGTGGATATTCTTATTTTCCAATGCTGTGTAAAGCAGATCTAGCATTTTTATGATTGCATCGTTAGTGCTTTTATTTTTCCTGAATCCAAATTGGCAGGGGTTGAGTTTTGTTTTGTCCCTTTTAAAAAGAATAACGTGGACCCCCCCATAGGATTTTTAATGTGCAAGAGGCTCATTGTTATGCAAAATGTGGGAAAGCAAATAAATTTCCCAGAAAAATAAGGGAAAATAAAAATTAATCCTGCAAGACCCCCAAAAAAGTTGAAAAAAAAAATTTTACCACATAAAATATACTTTTCCACACACAAAGAAAAGGATACATGCACAATAGTGATTTTAAACATGCACAATTTATTTTGTGCATGTACTCTTTTTAAAATGAAGAATAAAAACATTTTTTATTAAAAGATGAGCAAGGACGTGGACACTGTTCCTGGAGTGCCTTTTCCTCCTGATTTACTGGGGGTCCTTTTGGGATTTTCTTCCGAAAGGCCTTATCAAAAGTGTATCCCACTATTTTTCTTAAATCTCTCAAACCCAAACCCTTTTTTGTGGTTTTTAAACCCCAATATGAGCACTAGTTCCGGGCATTTTCCCTGTTCACCGGGTGTTAGCGACGGTTTGGGGGTTGCACCTGGGAGACAAGTTTAAGGACCCCAAGGGAAATAGTTAGACAGTTTTCGTTTGACACTGATTTTTTTTTGGTTATCCGGGGTGGAAAATCCTCGGGGGTTTAAATTTGTTCTTGGGATTCTAAACCACACCAACAACGGTGCTACAGAGCAGCAGCGCAGCAGCTCGGGGGGTACAGCGCAGCAGCAGCTGACAGTGCTACGCAGCGCCGAGCAGTGACAGGCTACAGCAGCGCGCAGCAGAGCTGACAGGCTACAGCAGCAGCAACGAGCTACAGCACAGCAGACGGTGCAAAGCAGCCAGCCAGAGTGACGGGGGTACGCAGAGCAGCGTGCGTGCAGCAGCACAGCGCAGCTGACGGGGGGTACGCAGCAGCGAGCTGTACCCCCAATAGAGCGTTTTTGATTGGGGTTTTTTATACAACCTGGCCGCTCGGAGACACGCACCCATTTATACTTTCAAAAGATCCTCTTCTTTATCTCTATAGAATTTCCACTCTTATTTCTGTAGGGTTTGGGCCCAGAAGCTTTCTTGGGGCCCATGGTCACTTTTTTGCGATAAAATCACCAAAAAACACTGTAATAATAGAAATGTTCAGATTGTATGCTTGGATGTTACCCGGAGGCTGGGTGGTAAACAAGCCCCCGGCGGCAATGTGAGGGGCTAAGGGCGCACATTGGTGCATCCGGGGAAAGCGGTGAGGGGTTTTTGAGCGGGATGCGAGGCAAAAAATTTTTTAGATAAAAGCGGCGGTAGGGATGAACGTTATGTATGCCCACGGATGCAGGAGGCCCCTGTAGTCTCCTGGCACGAGTTTCTCAAGATTTTGGATAGCAAGGTAAGTG